TGTGTATTGAAGGGATTAAAGACAATCTAATCTTGCTGGATGTGGTGGTGCATGCATGTAGTCCCAGTGCTTGGGAGGCAGAGGCAGGAGGATCTCTGTGAGTTCAAGGCCATCCTGTTCTACATAGTAAGTTCCAGGCCAGCTGGGGCTACAGGGAGACTCTGTCTCAAAAAAAAAAAAAAATCTAATCCCAGTAATTTTCTCATTTTTCAGGTTAGAAGTGAAAAACTTAAGAGGGAAACATTAGAAATACTATGTGTATACTTACAAATATGTTGCTGTTATTGAGATTTCTCTAATGCTGTGGGTCAGATATCCCCAGTGGGCTGATAACAATTATTTTGTCTCCATTCTCTACATTGCAGCTTTTGGTGATCCCACCTAAAAGACCGGGAAAAGGCTACTAGAGTTGTAATTAAACACATCTACCTGGATTGTTTCAGCATCACCCCCCCCACCCCCAGAGTGCTTTCTTCTTTTCATCCAGTCCTGTTCCAGGATAGATTAATCTCTAACACTTTGGGTTTGTTAGTGTTATGCCCCCAGTAAGAAACTTGCAAAAATGTTTTCCTGAGGATTTATTTTATAGAGTAATCCCTATGCTAACCTCTCATTGAAAGTCTCATGGTAAAACTAAGACAGGCATTGTTACTGTCCTTACTTTATAGATATGGAAAAAGACACATGGCTGTCAGGCTGAGGAGGCTGGATGCAAACTTACCTCCAACTTACCCCTAATCACCTGTACAGAACATTACTGAGGCAGGCATTCAACACCTTTTAAAATGTAGTCCAAGCTTCTTTCTAATCTTTTCTTAGAGCACTTTCTACTAAGGGCTGTACATTTAGTATATACCATATTTCTTTAAGTTTAGTACTTTTTAATTCCATTTTACAGTTGAGTGGGTTGAAGAATGGAGAAATTAACTTGATAGAGTCACGATTAGAAGATGGCAGAAGCCAGGCGTGATCAGAGGCAGTTTCCCTTAGAAGCCTGTTCTCATTCATAGTCACTGTGGTATATTGCTTCCCAGTTTGATTTCTTTAATTAACATTTGAGTACTATTCTAAGTAATATTTTTGTGAATTTTTTTTAAATCAGGGAAGGTGGCTATTCCAAAGAATGTATTCCAAAGTGGATTAATGCATTAGACAGACTAAGTAATTTAAGAAAAATAAAAACCCTGCTTGGAGGAAAGGCACATTGAAGTGAGCTCCTCCAATTCCTCTACCCTGGGTAGACAGCTGAGCATAGATTGTGACCCCTAGACAGAGCAGAGATGGAAAGGCATGCATTGCTTCCCTTGCCTGAGAAAATAGCATCCACCAACAGCTCTTGAGATGTAGAAACCAATTTGGAGCAGCTGCTCTGTGTGGAGCTGTTAAGTATTGTGAAGCACCTGTATGTGTCTAATTCCAGCCCAAACAAGTCTTCTGGCTCATCAAGGTGGGGAGGAAGATGACTGTCTCCATCGGAATGATTTGCTATTATTTCTGGTACACATCCCTTCTACTTTAAAGAAAATTGAGTCTAATTTATTTTCTATTTATTGAGTATTTTTGTGTTTTGTTTTTTGAAATATTGCCTCATTATGTTGCCCAATCCAGTCTTGAACTTTTGGTCTTACTCATCTGCCTCCTGATTTTGGGGGTTGCAGGCATACATATCATGTCTAGCCAAGTTTGTGTGTGTGTGCATGCATGCACGCCTGTCAGAGTTTGACCTTAGGTGTCTTCCTTTTTCTCTTTCCACCTTATTTTGTGAGATGGGATCTCTCACTGAACCTGGAGCTCACTGGTTGGCTAGACTGGCTGCTCAGTAATTTCCAGGGATCTATCTGTCTCTGTACCCTCCAGCACAAGTGTTTCAGATGCATGTCACCATGCCCAGCCTTTACATGAGTACTGAAGATCCTAACTCAGGTCCTTGTGCTTGCCCAGTGGGCACTTTACCCTTTGAGCCCACTCCCCAGTCTCCCTCCCCTCTTTTGTTAAGACAGAGTCTCACTATGTCACCTGGCTAGCCTCAAATTCACTGTGCAGCCCAGGCTGGCTTTGAACTTAATGTCCTTCTGCCTTAGACTCATGGTAGCATATGCCACCACATATTACAAGTATAATTTACACACAATAAGATGTTTTCATATTAAGAACTTGGTTTGATGAATTTTGACAGTTCCATCCATGCAACCACTAGCCCAAACAAGAAAAATTTTCCATGTTGCTTCCCAGTTAGTTCCCTTTCCTGTTCCTTTTATTTCTGTTTCCATAGATTAGCCTTACTTTCTCTTGGATTTGATATAAATGAAATCACACAGCTCTATATTTGGTGGTGTCCAACTACATTGAGGAATGCTCCTCAACTCTTAAAAGGAATGAACTACTGACACACTTGACAGGATGAATGTCCCAGCAAGTTGCATGCAGAAGTTCACAGGGGGCATTTTCTTTAGATTACCTTTATAGTCATAATAACTAAAATGACCACAGATTCTATCTACTTATCTATCAATTGGCAACTTTAGGTCCCTCCTCTATGCCTTTAGGATATGGTCCATTTATATTCAACTTGTGGGTGATTGTGATAATGATTTTTAAAATATTTTATTTATTTTTATTTTATGTGTGTGAGTATAATGCATGCGTTTATGTAAGTGCACCCATGTCGTGCAATGCCCATGGAGGTCAGAAAAGGGCATTGGAATCCCTGGAACTGGAGTTAAGGATGGTTGTTAGATGTCATATGGGTACTGGGAACCAAACCTGGGTCCTTTGCAAGAGCAGCCAGTGCTCTTAACCACTGAGCCATCTCTCCAGCCCAGATAATGATTTTTTTTTAAAGGAAGTTAAAATTGTGTAGGTCAGATGCTCTCCCTACGTCTTTGTGGTATGGCAAAGGGCAGAAGGAATAAAAGAGGGAGGGAAACAGCTCTGTCCTATCTGGGTGTCTGTCCAGCAGGCCCTGGATGCTCATTTCATGACCACTCCACGCTGCTTGCTGTGCACTTTTCATTGTCATGAGAAAGAATGTTAGGAAAACTGTCCCCACAAGAAAACAGCTTTTCTTGGCAAGTGAAAGATGACTTAAGGAGCCAGAGCTGGAGACATACGGTACTATGAACGAGAGCTGTGTTACTTTATTGGATCTGAGTCCAGGCACTATTTATGCTGCAGCATATTTAGCAGCAGATTGTTAAATCTTAATACTGAAACAGTGCATCATTTTAATATTTTTGTTCTGTTTATTCCCTGTTTTCAAGCATTATGTCAGGCATTGCGCATTCATTTATTTCATCTTGGACAGGACGTGCCCTGACCAGAAAGTTCATTTCCCATTGTTGGAGTTCTGCCCCATAGCTATAAAACATTGTTGGTGAAGCTTTTAATGACTGCTCTTGCAGAGGACCTAGGTTTGATTCCCAGCACCTACATGGTGGCTCTGGACCACCCTTAACTCCAGTTCCAGGGGAATCTGAAGCCTTCTTCTGACCTCCGCGGCATTGCACAACACAGGTGCACTCACATACATGCAGGCAATACACTCATACACATAAGATAAAAATAATAAATAAAATAATTTTTAAAAGTGCCTTTGAGTATACAGGTGTTCTCTCTCTTCAGTGATAAAAATGTATGTATTTTAAAAGAACAGTGCAGTTAGACTCACCTATATTGTCAAAAGGAAAAATAAAAAATGCTCTTTTTCTTTTAGCTCTAAAACATAACATTTTTATATGTGACAATTTCTGACTTTCTGGAGACCATCGGATTTTTCATAGCATAGAAATAAAATTTTTGCTGTCCCGTGTCATTTGCGCAATGAGCTTCTTTATGTTTCTTCATCAGTTGTCGATGTGCCCTGTGTGCTAGACAAGAGCAGCCCATGTCATGAATGTTAGTGTTTTCACCACACACTACCATAGCCACCCCGTGAATCTTCCTGCAACAAGGCTCACTCCTGAAAGTGCTGCTCACAGTACCCAGGCTTGCCCAGGAGCTTAACTCTTTTCTTGTCAGCATGCATGTTAACCATGGGTAGCATGAAACCCACAGGGAAAAGGTACTATTGTCATTCCAAAAAGAAATCGGGTATAAAAACAGAGAGCTGTTTCTGAGCTGAGGGCCAGTCACTCTGCTGCAGCATCTGGCATGGGTCCTGGAAGGCAAGGTGAGCTCTGCTCTGCAGTTTCCAGTGCTGTAAGACCTGGGACTCACACCACATTCGGAATGTGATAGCACTCTCAGCCTACACACAACAATTTTTCTTGTTCTATTCAGAAGAGAATCTTGTATTTACTTCAGGCTTGCTTTTTTTGGGGGGGTCTATGAAATCAGCAGTCACGTATATTCAGCATCAATCTTAAGTTAGGCTGTGAAACAAGACTTTGGGGGAAGTAAGTATCTGTATGGTTTTCTAAGTAATTTAAGAAACAGGAAAACATAAAAGAACTGATTGTTCGTGATTAAACCTCATCTTTTTCATTCCTTATCTTCCTGTATAGTTAACTAACTCAATTGTCAGTGAGAAAGGAATAGCTCATTGCACTGGGTTGTAAAATATCAGAGTGAACCTTCAATGTTGACTATTGAATGACCTTCTTAACATTGAACAAACAATGGGAAGGCTTAATAAATAGCAGATATGTGTTTATTATGTTTTTCTTTCCTGTGTAGGAATAATCAAGCTGGGGAGGTGGAACCCTCTCCCCCTCAGTTACGTGACAGATGCCCCCGATGCGACAGTGGCTGACATGCTACAAGATGTCTATCACGTTGTGACATTGAAAATCCAATTACAAAGGTGGGTATTTTTGCATACCTGCCTTTCCTTCCTCTCAGAGCTGTTCTGTGGATCACAGATTCACTCTAGAGATCAGTTTGTCCTGTCTTTGTTCATTTCTAGACTTGGTAAAATGAAAAGAAGGAAGAGACAGAGGAGGCAAGGAGGGGCACTTCACTAGGCATCTTTATAGTCCACATTCCAACTGTTTTATGTTCTGTGTTCAGAAGCAGTGAAGTGGTAACCTAGGGAAAGCTTGATAAATCATTAAAAATCTCCAGGGAACTTTCAGGAGGACTTTCTACAGTCCCTCATTCAGTGGGTCCACTAGGCTTTCTTGGAAGCTTAGCACATAGCATCTAAAGCATTAAACTCTCTTGTCTTCTGGTTAGTCTGGTTTTCAAACTGTCTCCCTCTCTTTATGGTGGCCATTCAGTGAAAGGTATTCCATGATCTATAAGGGGATCAGGAATGGTCCCTCCATTCATCACTTCTGATGGATTATCCAAAACAACTTACACCTCCCAAGAATCTAGAGGTTCTCTCTAGACTGTCATTGTAAAATGTCTGCAAGTATGTTGTCCTTCAATGTAAGATTGATTGGAATTTTTTTTTTCCTTTTGGAGACCTTTTATTTTAAAAGGGACCCAACACCCCCATCTTCTTCTAGGAGTGTGTGTGTGTGTGTGTGTGTGTGTGTGCGGTGCCGCAACGCAACGGCTGAAGTGCGGCTACGCACCTTCCTGTCCCCTTGCGTGGATGACTGTGGGCCCTATGGCCAGTGCAAGCTGCTGCGCACTCACAACTACCTGTACGCGGCCTGCGAGTGCAAGGCTGGTGAGCGGGCTGGTGGGGGAGCAGGCCAGACTGGGCTTCCTGGACTACCTGGCCAGCAGGGGTGCACAGAGGTGCTGGGGACAGGGCAGGGGTGAGCGAAATTGTCTGTTGAACCCACGGCTGCCTTGTATACCCCCACTCCCGGCATAGGAATTCCTCAGAATATTTCTTAAAATATTTTTAACTGGGAAAGTAACATCTATGAACTTTTCTGGGAGGGGTGAGTCTTCACACTTCAGATCTGATGGAGATGTACTGACATTTAACCTTAAGAATACCTAATAACTGAATCTTTACTGAAAAGTTCATAACCAAAGTACTATGCTATTTTCCTTAATGCTTTGGAAAGATCTGATGTATAAAAAGAGTATTTCTTTGTATCCAGAGTGACAATTTTTCTTAGGCTCGTGTGATAACCAGCTTAGGAGATCCTGCTGTGCGCCATCTCTGGAGAAGCAGCCTGCTCCCCTTGCCTCACTTGGGAGCTGCCTAGATGTCCTACTATAACACTGACACAAGACCCAGGAGTAATGTCACGCACAGGTGTTCTCAGCAACCAGGGCTGTGCCTGAGGGTTATGTGTCATTCATTCTTGCTCTATTTTGCAGTTGTTCAAAGTTGGAAGACTTGCCAGCGGAACAGTGGAACCACGCCACAGTCCGCAATGCCTTAAAGGAACTGCTCAAAGAGATGAACCAGAGCACATTAGCCAAAGAATGCCCTCTCTCCCAGGTCAGTGTCTCCAGGTGGGATTGTCTCTGTGTTTTGTTTGTGCAACTTTGGATTTTAGAGTCACCATTTCAGGAAGAGCTTTTAATGGAATTTTAGAGCAGTGGGAGTATATGAGAAGCGCCTACGTACACAGTCATCAACTTTTCAACTGTGTAGATAGGAAATCAGTACATAGGGAGTCATCTAAGTTTCACACTGAAGCTTCCTTAGCTGGTTAAGTGACAGGTTGAGGCCTTGCTCCAGACCTCCACTTATAAAACCCCTGTGTTCCAGGTGGTTGTTTTCTTTGGTCAGTGGAATGTCTTCTGCGTGCTGAACCTTACATTTGGCATGATTAATCAAGCCCTTTACTCTATTTGCTGGTGAGAGCTAATCTTTACAATGTAGAAGTGTGTAGAGGTTTTTGTTTGTTTGTTTGTTTGTTGTTGTTTAGTGAAATAGCCATACAAAAATGCATCAGTAGGAACAATGACAGTCCACTTTTAGTCAACTGATCAAACACTAAAAGAAGCCTTGAAAATACAAGACCAAGGGGCTCAAAGGAGGAGCCAAATCTAAGCTAGGCTTGATTTTCCTCCTGGAGCTTGGCAATTGTGTAACGAAGGAGTTGCTGGATAGTTCCTATGTTCTTGAACATCCCAGTGATGTATAATTCACAAGAGGAGCTTGAAGGCAGAAGAACAATGAAGTCCATGAAAAGGCAACAATTGTAGGCTGTGTCCTTGCAGGAGAGTCATGCTTTACACCCCGTATGGCCAGGTATTGGGAAGTACAGGTTGTCTTTGTGTGTATTTACTTTTTATTTCGCCTTTCACAATGCATTCAAATACGGATAGCCTCTTCCTTGTGTCCTGATGTTTTTATGAGTTGCCATATTCAGTCACATATGCTATTCTCAGGAAAGCAGCCTGATTTTCTGTAATTTAGGTACATGCCTCACTTGTTAAGTAGTCTTCTCTTACTCTGTTGACTTGAAAACATTATAAACATAGCTTCTTGTGGCTTATTGATTCTTACCAAAGGAAGAGTTAACCTAAGGTCTGTTTCTGACTACAAAACCTCAGGTCTTAAGAAATTTGTCCATTTCAATCAGCAGAGCTGCCCATTCCTGCCTCATTAAAGACTCTCATGATGGTCAAGTGGGTTGACCACACAGACAGCCTTGTCAACTGAAAATTGAAAGGAAAGAACAAGTAATTTGCAAAACCATGTGCCTTCTAATGTTCTCTGTGACTTTATCAAGTTTAATTTTTTGTATAATAAAATATCTGTAAAAAGGTTGCTGTTTTAACCTTCTAAAATTCTGTAAGTGAATAGCATTAGCTACATTCACAATGTTGTGCAACTATCATCCCTATTTGTTTATAAATTTAAAAAATTTTATTATTTTTATGTGTATGAATGTATTGCCTGCATGTATGTAAGTGTACTGATGTCGTGCAATGCCCACAGAGGTCAGAAGAGGGTGTCAGATCTCCTGGAACTGGAGTTATGAATGGTTATTAGCCACCATGTGGGTTCTGGGAATTGAATCCAGGTCCTCTGCAAGAACAAACAGTGCTCTTAACTGCTGAGCTGTGAGCCGTCTCTCTAGCCCCCATGTTTATATTTTTTTATCACACTAAACAGTATCTGTCATAACTTTCCATTCTCCTCTCCCATTAGCAACTAATAACTTATCTTTTCTGTCTCTTTGTATTTGCTGGTTCTACATACCTCACATAAGTGTAATCATAGACTACTATTAATTTATGCTGACTTACTTCACTCAGCATATAGGTTTGACTTTTAAATCAGCTCTACCCCATGTTTCTAGATGAGTCCTTGTTGCCAAATATTTGAGGAAAGAAAATAACCGAATTGATTGAACTTGATGATGTTACTAGATTTCCAGTGTGACAGTGATATTGCATTTATATAGTCTGCCTCCAGAAATGGACTATAGGATAATTATTCCTGTCATCTTAAGCGTGCCTGGCCCTTTTGGGGATCATTAAAGGCCTTAACTTATGTGAACAATGTGCCAAAAAAAAAACAAAAAAAAAACTGGGCAGTGAAATCAGGCAGACAGTCCGGTCGGTAGAAAAACACAAATTGACCATGTACTTGTTTATGGGCTAGTGGCTGGTCAGCTGCTTGGGCTAGTCATGAGTTAACTAGTTGCCAACTGTCCATTTCATTTAGTCTTAAATCCACATATACAGTGGGGATGCAGCTTGTCTTGTGTTAAGCAGTTGCCACATGTCCATTTTAGTTATTTTCCTGTGAGATTGTTTTAGTTTATGGCCCAGCCTCATTCATTCATGTTGAAAGAGGCTCACAAATGACATCTGAAAGTAATTTCCAAACAGGGATTTGCAGGGACCATAAGAAATGATAGCATGGTAAGGAGAGTCAAGCAGCATCTCAGAGAAAACACTCAAATAAAGTTTTCCAAAATATTACTCCAGAGCCAAGAAGGAAATGTGTCTTTTTATCAATGTGGCAATGTTTTCAATTCTGACATTATAGCTCAGAAATGGGGCTACAAAGAGATACAAAGACTGCCAAGTGACATTAGGTGAATGACAAAGTAATTCCTCCAAAATAATCTTTTCCATTTACTATATTTAGTTGAAATGTCATTGTAATATTATGTTTAATATGCTATTTAGCATATTACAAAGCAGCTCGAAAGGGTTGGAAATAAGCAGAATGCACATATCACCCACTCCCTACCAATCGCTTGGCCTCCTTCACAGGGTGCAGAGAGAAGGCTGAGAGATGCTGCCTTCTCCCCACAAAAGGGCGGTCTCACTGGCAGAGCATCTAGTCATTCACTGGTTTTCAAATGTTCTTTTTCATAGCATATGTGATATGTATCTGCAGCCTAGTGGCTCTTAGCATCACATTGCTATTCAAACACATAATCTCACCTTGCCAACAGGAATGTGATAAAGTTTGTTCAATTATTTTATCTTTCATTTTGGAGGAAAGGGGGCACTCAAGGCCTCTGCCTTTCCAAAGTATGTTTTACAGATCATTGTAACAAGTGTGGAGAGTTTAGCTTTTCCTATTTCCCTTTGTGTGTGTATGTGTGTGTGTGTGTGTGTGTGTGTGTGTGTGTGTGTGGTTGGTCTCTCTGTATAGCTCTGACTGGCCTGGGATTTGTGGTGATCCTCCTACCTCTGTATCTTAAATGCTGAAATTACAGATATGTGCCACACACCACTCTCAAGTAATGGATTGCCTTGTGTTCCATAGTTTTCTCTGATTCTAAACTCCTTGACTGACTTGTATGAGGGACTGGAGGTTACATGTTTGTAACCTTACATGTTTGTTTTGTTTTGAAGACAGGTTCTTACTTTGCAGCCCTGGCTGACCTAGACTTTACTAAGTAGATCCTGCTAGCCTTGAACTTGTGGCAGACCTGCCTGGCATCCCAAGTGTTGGCATTATAGGCATTATAGGTGTGCACCACCACACCCAGCTTTTATTTTATTTTTTAAATTTATTTAATAACCACATGATTAGACGAAGCATTTCATTATGGCTTTAACATATTCAATAACAATTTCCAGAGCAAAGATGCATCTCTTTCAAAAGTAGCTGTAAATTTTTAGGTTCTTTTAGTTTTAATACAAAGTCTCATGTAGTTCAGACTGGCCCGAAATTGCTGCATAGCTCAGGCCGGCCATGGATTCCTGATTATCTCCTCTCGACTTCCCAAATGTTGAAATTATATGTGTACCATCACCATCACAGCCATCACCACTTAGGCTTTAAGTTTTTTTTTTTGTCACCTTGTTTCTTATTTTATCTGAGGAATGGCTTTAGCATTAGTATTGAGTTGTGTTTGCTGATGGAAGTGATGGCTAACAGTTCCTTCTTTTCATTAATCAGTTTTTCTTCTAGCGATCATGAGGGCTAGTGAGATGATTCAGCAGGTAAAGGTGCCTGCCACCAAGCCTGAAACCTGAGTTAGATTCTTAGTACCCACATGGTAGAAGGAGAGAACTGGCTCCTACAAGTTGTCTTCTGACCTCATGTAAGCCATGGGTTGTATCAGTGTAAACATATGCTAAATAAAGGTAATTTAGAAACTATATATTATATATATATATATA